ATATCTTGGCATATTAATCTTAGCTAACTCTAATGTCTTGTGGCCTAACACTTTTTATAATAAATATCAACTACTAGAACCAATACTCAGTCAACATTCCAAATACTATACTTTTAAAAAACAACTTTGAAAAAACAATATACTCTACTTAGAGCAATTATATATTGCAAACAATAGTATACTACTTAAATAGTACTATTTTTATCAAGACTTTACAATTTAATAAAAGGAAGGCAACCTTTTTGGTTTACCTATCTGAAAGATACAATTTTATTTAACAGATTATATTGTCTAATCCTTCCTTATTTTCAACTTCTAGAAGTTAATGCTTTTGTATATAATACTTTACCAATTAAGAAAAAACTTAAAGCTTAACTACTTATTTATAATAATAATAATAAAGAGATCATTATTAGCAAAATTTACAAATATCTTCTAAACATAAACCAGTTCTCTATTTCACATTGGAATACAAATATTAACTTAGAATATAATCACTATTATCTTTTTCCAGATTTAAACTGTACACCATGTACTAAATGCTATCTTAACTTAAATAAAGTTAAGCAAACATGCATAATTAATATTTTAGCAACTATCTGTACTAGTTTTCTAGAAAGAAAAACTTCTAAACTTAACCTTAATGCTAACTATTTAGATCTTATTTATTCAATAACAATTAAATATCCTTCGCAAATTTCATATTACTATTCTATTATCAATATATCAAATTCTATTATTACAAGAGGTGTGGTAACCAGTGAAGTAGTCAGATTGTCAACCCCCCAAGTGGTAGGTTGGGTGTTCAAATCCCATCGATAGTGAAAATTTGAATAATTACCTATGTAATCTGATATTACAGCAACTGTTCCTAATGATTGAGTTAAGATACCTGTAATTATGGTCACACTAGCATGACTGGCAGGTCATGGGGCATCTGTGTAACTTGTTATACAGAAGAATGCAAACTGACAAATTAGGCAGTACAAACTTAAGATAAGTCCTTGTGACTGTAGAAATTGGGGAACAAGAAGCCCATTTGGGAAGACCCAAGTAAAGAGGTAATACAGATCTTTAATAGTACCACTGTAAAGGCTAGATCTAAGAAACGGATACCAATGCCAAAGTAGCTGAATGGGCAAAAACCTCTGGGTTGGGAGTCTCGAAGGTACCACCAATCAGGCTGCCAGATCAGACCAGAGGAAAAGGATATCGGGCTGATCCAATATACTGATGGACTGGTCATAGTCCTATATAGGCTATTTGGATTGGGAGTTTGGTAAAAGAAGCAGGGGTATACTAAAAGTACTAGGGATATGCTGTGAAGTAGGTACTGGGGTCTGTGTAAACTCTACAAGGGCATAGCAGTTTAACAGTTAGCCCTGATTGCAAGTGTTGGTTCTGCTATAGCGATATCTGGGTTAGCTGCAAAAATAGATAAACAGCAGGCTCTAGAAGGTTTATCTCGAGAATAACTGTCCTAAGGTTGAGACAAAGGCTCTAGGCTTGACCTGGTAAAGTAACATAAGACAGATTCAGAGAGTTTAAATAGAACATCCAAGCAGGAATGTTAGGTATAACAATTGGTAGAGAACATTAGGCAGACTCCTTAAATAGGTAATATAGAAAGTTACATGAGTGGCCAATTGTATGCTCTTTTTATAGTAGCTCCTTACAGAACTATATTCCTAAAAATATGTTAATAAAGTCGAAAGACCAAGAGGTCACCTTAACTCTGAAAAAAAAATAAAAAATTCTATTATTACAGAACTCTTTAAACCCAATGACTGTTCAAACAAACTTGAAGAAATTTTTCAAAACAATTTACTATATAAGGAATTTACTTTTTAAACTAATAGATCAGTATCTAATATTGGAACTAAACAAAGCTCAATAGACATTAAATAGGTTTAAATTAATAGAAACAATCAAGTTCTTTATAAATTTTTAGCTAAAATCTATTTTTGAATATCAACTTATAAGGCAGAGTTCTTCTTTATCTTATCTGCAATCTTAACAGTATCTTGTAATGCAACACTTCAAATTTATACTAACTTACAATCAGTTATTTCTAAGTTCTACAAACTTTTTACTCAACTCAATAATTCTAATAATTTTTTAAATTTAATATATAGCCTTTATAGCATATACTTCTTAATATTATTAAATTCTTCAATTTAAATATTAACTTTTACAAAGTTCAAGTTTATACAGACAATACTTTTAATAATATAGCTGACTCTTTAGCAAAACAACATATCTTTTTTCTGCTTTTAAACTTTCAATATACAAACATTTACAATCCTTTTCATATTCTATAATGAAAACAAAATTCTGTTAAGCTTTCTATCTAATACTTTATTAAAAATATTTGCAAAACTTACATATTAGCAATATAGTTCTTAGAGGTGTGGCAACCTAGTAAAGTGGATAGGTTGTCAACTTCCAAGTGGCAGGTCTAGAGTTCAAATCTCAGTGATGGCAAAAATTTGCAATTCTTTCTGTATTATGACTAACTGTCTTCTATAATTAGTTGGGATAAGATATCTGTAACTTGTGTTATATCAGCATGACTAGAAGATCTAGGCACTTGTATAATGTTATACAAGGGAACACAAACTGGTACCAGGTGGTGTGAACCTAAGATAAGTCCTTAGACTATGTAAATCACAGAAACCAGATAGAAAGATGAAAGCCTACTTGGAAGACCCAAGTAGAAAGATAATCTGAACCTTTGACAGTGCTACTATAAAGACTAGACTTATGAAATAGAGCTAGAACTTGTAAAACCAGACAAATGTGTCAGTCTTTGAGGAGGGACCAGATGAACTAACCAGGCTGCCAGAATTTCCAAGTTTCGAAAGAAAAGGATACATGCTAGCAAACATGTAAACCAGAGGTATGGTCTTGCCCTATCTTTCTAAGCTATCTGAAATAGCAGCTTGGTAGAACTTAAATTGAATACCAAAATAGTAAAGATATATTGTGAAGTTAGTACTGAAGTTAAGATAAACTCTACAAGGGCATAGCAGTTTAATAGTACACCCTGATTGCTAGTATTGGTCTTGGCCATAGCAATACCAGGTCAGCTATAAGAATGGGATACAGAAGGTTCTGGAAGGTTTAGTATAAGGTCAAAGGTTTTTTATATGAGTGAACTGCTTTAAAGACTTAGTGGCCATAGCATATTTTCACTAGCATTAGCCAGGGTCATTAGTAGACAAAGGTAGGTGGGTGGATATGAAAACAGAATAGTTAAATAGGAAACCTACAATTAGATTTCAGATATGCCAGCTAGTGTAGAATCTTTGGGTAGACTACTTAAATTAGACAATGACTAAAGTTATATGAGTAGCTAATTGTACACTCTCTCTATGGTTGCCTTCTGTAGTTGTAATGCAATTATTAGCCAAATATACTATCAATAAAATCCTGAATCGCAAGTACTCACCTTAATATTTTTTTTTAAAAAAAAAGCAATATACAGTCAGACCTTGTTATAGTCACTCTTGATATAGTCATAACCTTGATATAGTCACCCTGTTTTTTGTTCTTAGCTTATATAAAACATATAAATATCGATCTTCATATAGTCACAATTTTTTATAATCACCAATTTTTTGTTTTCTGGCCTGGTGATTATATCAAGGTCTGACTGTAGTTCTTACAAAAAAGAAACAATGAATAGTCTCATATTAATTATTATATAGACTAACATTAACATGATTATATCTTAATTATAACCAAAAACTATTATCTAGTTTTACTAGCTTCAAACTTAATCAATCTAAAGCTTTTAAAATTAAAGCTTTATTAAATAAACTACCAACATACTTTTCTTTTCACAACATATATCAACTTTTTTTACAAATACTAACTGCCTCTAATGTAATCTTCTTAATTCTTATTCATATTGACTAACTTGTCTTAATTTTTCTCTTATTACAAATATTATTAATTCATTAATTTAGCATATTTTATCTAAAGTGATCTCAACTTATTTACTAGTTAACTTCATAAACTTTATTTGAAAAATTCAAAAACATTCTTTATTTGACCAAATACTATTTCAAGCAAACTTTTTTTATTTTGACTTTACTCTTAAAGGCCTTAATTAAAATAATTCATAACTACAATATACTAATTAAGATAGCTTCACAAATTATTATTCAAACACTTCTTGATATTAATGATTAAATTTACAACCAAATATAGAAACTATACTGTATTAACCTCTCTAACTAAAAAAAATAACAATATTATATCCTTTCAAATTCATAATATTCACAATACTTCATAACAGATACAACAAACTAAACATCACAAAAGATTATATACAAACTATATATACTCATATCTAGATAGAATAGTAGATTCTAATACCTGTTCACCAATTGGACAGACTATCATAAAAATTAATATATGGTTAATATTTTGGATTAATCATAGTACATCTTATAATCATATTTTAATATTATAAATCTAGATGGGCCTTGACTACTATAGTTAGTTTAAGTTACAAATAAAGTTATCTGAGCTTTAATTTTTGTATATAGATTTTATTTTGTATTTTACAATCTTAGTATATTTTTAATATTTAGTATATTAATATATACAACTAATATTACTAATAAAAATATGAGCAAGGCCTCATCTTAATACCAAAAAAAAAACTATATATAATATTTATATTCTGTAAAGTTAATCTTTTTTTAAAAATTCTAATTCTAGTTATGTACTATATTTAGTTTTTTTATAAAATTTTATATTTAATTATTAATTCTTTTTTAGATTACAAAATTTAAATTCTTTTAATTTTATTTTATTAACTTGAATTATTAATCTAAACTATAAAAATATAGAAGCTTAAATATATCTCATTTATAATTTTTAAATTTTAAAGTTTTATTAAACTATTATATAATTTTGTTTATAATTTATATGTTTTATATTAAATCTAATATATGTCAAATAATTAATCAATAAGTAATATATATTATCTAAAAATTAGTATCTAATATTATTAAAATAAATCTGATACAAAGAAGTATCTAAAATATAATATTTATATCTTTTATTTATAATATTGTACTCTTTATTAAATAAAGTATTTTAAGAATGTGATAATTTAGTAAAATAAACAAGTTATTATTTTTTCAAGTAACAAGTTGGGAGTTCAAAATTCATTAACAATAAAATTTATATTTCTACTTATATTATAGCAACTGTTTTTAATAATTAAATTAAGATATCTGTAATTATAATTATATTAACATAATTAACAGATTATAAAATATTTATGTAACTAGTTATACAGATAAATACAAACTACTAACAGGTAATGCAAACTCAAGATAAGCTTTTGTAACTATATAGATTTGTAGAAACTGAGAAATATGAAGGAAGATCTAAACAGAAAAATAATACAAAATTTTAAGAATATTATTATAAAGACTAGATCTAAGAAATAAAAACTAATATAAAAAAGCCAAATAGACAAGAATCTCTAATTAGAAAGTATTACCAATCAGGTTACTAGAATTATTAAAGAAAAAAAGATATTAGACTATCTGATATACCAAAAAGACTAAACATAATCTTATTAAAGATCTGAATTGGAAATCTAAGAACAGAAGTAAAATATACTAAACTACTATAATATACTGTATTGTAAAGTAATACTGAAATTTAGATAAACTCTGCAAGAACATAACCTTGTTAAAATTTATAGTAAATTAACAAAAAATTTTCTGAGCCTTATTGACAGATGACAGGTTTTTGAAATGTGCAATAACCTGGTACTAATATAAAAAGAAATGAAAATTAAACCTAAATGGTCCTCAATAAGAGACAGCACAGAATCATTCACCTTAAGATAATATAATTAAAATTATACAAGTACTAATTAGAGATAGGCCAGAGAGTTTAAATAGAACACTCACAAGTGAGGGTCAGGTATGACAGATAGTGAGTAACCTTAGAACGAAACTCTTAAATAGACAATAACTAAAGTTGTACATGTGACTAGCTGTACTCTCGGATGTACTTAAAAATATCACTAACTAATAAAACCAGTTTGGCTGAGTGATTGACCGCCCATTAATAATAATAATAAATTATATTTTAAAAAATATTGTTACCTAGTAAACCTTTTTAGTAGTTTTAACCAAATTTGTTTCACGTATCTTTCTAATTCTAATAATAGTTAAATCATTAAAATTGGCTTCGAAATTTTTGAATTCTTTATATTTAAATTTAAAAAATATTAGTTAACTTTAAATAAGAATTACTAATCAATTTTTAATAATTTTGCTACTATTAGAACCAGAAAAGTATAAAGAACAACTTAAGACTACTAAAAAGGTTTTATTTATTATTAACAATATCTATTTTAAAGTACTTTTTGTTTAATAGGAGGTATGAATATCAAAAATAAGAAGTATAAATATCAATTCCCTAAATTTTATTATATGTTTAATGTTGGCAAATAAATTTAAGCACCGATTCCCTAAATTTTATTATATGTTTAATGTTGGCAAATAAATTTAAGCACCGATTACATACCTGATTTTGGTGGCGATACTAGATGGGTCTGGTTTATGGTTTATACAGTGTTTTAAAATGGTTTCTGTCCGCAAAATCTTAAGTCTGGTTGGTCCTCGTGACTCTATCATCACGCGTTGTCATATTGTATATTCATTTAGCATTGCATCACGCCTTACCTTACATATATATCTATACAAAATATTTGACTATTGCTACGTGTATTTGTACTCTCATCAATGTGATAAATGTAGGAAGTCCTTGAACGCGCCGTGATCCATTGTATTTAATAAATCTTGAGCTGAAGAAGCCTTAACGATTAAAAAAAAAAGATAATCTTGATATTTACGAATTGTTTAGATAAAATTATGGATAAAATTTTGAATTATTAAAGATTTGAACGTGGACAAACACAAACTATAGTAGTTTTTTATTTGGAAGGTAAGCATATACTGTATATACGCGTTTAGATAGCAAATTTAATATGGACTATTGGTTTTCAATAGCTTCGAAAAGTAGAACAAATGGAATCCTAACCAAGTCCGTTAGGACTTTTTAGCATATGAAAACGGTCAAGATGTTGAATAGAGTTTATGCACTTTAAAAATTCACCAATTTTACTATATATATGCGTTAATATACACGGTATTTTTTGTTACCAAATATATATATATGTGAAATAATATATAAAGAAATTATTCAAGGTCAATAACTAGCTTAGTAGCACTGACACCACTTTTCAACTTTTCCAATGCTGGAAGAATACCATCAAGTCCACCTGGCATACTCGTAATATTAACTGGTCTAATTCTACCGTCAAACAACATAATTTCAATCTCTTTTAAAACTCTATTAGTACTTTTAAGGTAATCATTAGGGTTTCTATGTGCAGCACCAAGGGTCACCATTGACATTTCAATATCCTCTCTTGTCTTTGCAGAACGATCTACACATGCCAACTTGCCATTTTTACTTAATGTTTCTATACATAAAGGAGTGGTTTTACCACCAACAGTATCAAAGGCATATTTCAATCGACCTTGACTAGCATTTTTGATTTGATCAACTACGTCACGAGCATTGTAATCAAAAGTGTAAGCAGCACCTAATTGTTGAAGAAACTGATGGTTTTTTGGTGATGCTGTTGTGATAACTGTGAGTCCTGAATGAGCTGCAAGTTGAATGGCATAAGAGCCGACGGAAGAAGAGCCACCCCAAATCTATAATAATTAAATGTTAAAAGTTTCATTTTTTTTTTAGTGAGAGTAAGAATAGATGTTGACATTACCAAGATATATTCTTCGCGGAACCAACCAGGATTTTCAGAAGGAAGTGGCAATTTCAATGATTCAAATAAGCCAAGCCCCGCTGTAAGCGAACAAACGGGAATAGTTGCAGCTTCTCTAAAAGTAAGGTTTGGTGGTTTCTATAAAAGATAATAAATTATTCTCATTATTACATGTAAATGAATAATAAAATTATTTAGGAAAAATCACCTTGAAAGTAGTTGATGCTTCAAGTAAAGTATATTCAGAAAATGCACCATAATGACCAGGGAGTCCCAACTTGGTATATCCGCAAACTTCATCACCTTGAGAAAACTCGGTAACACCTTCACCAACAGCTTCTACAACACCAGAAACATCGCTACCAAGAATCGCAGGATATCCATCAACCATAAGACCACTTTCTACTTGATAGCTAACAGAAGAAAAAAAAAATGAGAGATCTCAACCATTTATGATAATATACGGTAGAATTGATTATTGTTTAAATAAAGAATTACACATCAATAGGATTCAAAGCAATAGCTTTGATCTTGACAAGTAATTCTCCTCTTTCTCCAGAAGATTCATCATAAACAAAGGGTTTCGGAATTGGTTTATCAACCAGTTGAATTTCTAGCTTGGCACCTTTTTCTGGTACAACAGCTGCTTTGACCTTTTCACTCATTATCTTTATATCGATATAAGAACTAATAATAGTTTTTAGAAGATAAAGTTTTAAAAAATTAAATGCTTTTTATGTAAATTACATTATCCAAAAGGTAAAATTCCGCCATCAGTCATTAAATAAAGCAAAGAACGACAATTTTGTTCATAAGTCTAAATTCAGAATCGCTAAAATGTCACATAATTATATATCATCAAATTGATTAATAATACAAATTATTGACTAACTCAGTATTTACTATGTGATGAATAATCATGTTAATATTTAGAGGGGTCATATATACTATTTAATAAGTTCTAACGCTAATTAAACCTTATGAATACAAATATAAACCTGGAAGAACGAAAATTACCCAAATTTGAAATCCTAACCGTTTATGTTAAAATTGATTCATGCACTAACATAGGTTATATCAGATTATCTCTACCATATACGTATGAGAGAAAAGCTTATCATTATCTTAGGTGCATTACTGATAAAGATTCTGTGCGTGCGGAGTATACGTATACGTAGGTAAAATATGTAGTATATAGTAAAAGCATGTAGTACATAAATTCCAATAAACAAGATTATATTTATCGCTAACTAAGTTATAGCCAGAAAAAGAACTATATATTTAGTAATTAACGAGATTATAATAAATATGTAGCTGTAATGTATATGGTAGAAGTCAAGAGAGGTTTATAATATAACCACCATAATATGAAAAAAGAACAATACGTATTAACACATGCCTTAACCCTAACCATAAAAGATAAATAGTAATCATACATACTTTTTTTTATATATAATATACATTAATGTATGTATACGAATTTATCCAATATATATCGATATCTTTAATACGTACTCACTACGGATCCTATCTTTGAGAATTAACCGCATGTACTATCAAAAATAGCAGATAGCGTATTTTTCGTACGTACGTATGTCTGTCCGAATCTGCGCTACCAACCACTTGCATACGTATGAGTGTACCTGCATACCAATACGTACGTAATTTTGTCCACTAATTTCAGTTATTTGCAAATTTCGTTTTTGCTACGGTCGGAGAGATCGGAAAAGGTAAACCATTCATCATTTGACGGGAAATGGCATAGAAATCAGGAAAATTAATGTTAAATATTATGTACCAGCGGAATGGTTACACCTTAAGGTTCACTAACCAAATTGTATTTACCAAATTAAGAATATTTTTCACCAGTCAAAAGTTTGTACATGTTCCCAGTACGTACAAATTAATTGACGCATCTATTATAGAAAATAATAATGTCGCGCAGCTATTGTGGAATCAATTGACGTACCTATTCGGCTCAACAAATCCCCAACTCATGGGGACAGTCATTAGGCAAACACATCATATTTCCTAATTTAGATTTCCCGTTGCTGCGCGGGATAACTACAATATTTTTATAAAAATGACACGAAAAGGTATTAACAGTCTTCCAACATTCATAATAAAAATGTCAGAAACTGTAGTATTTTTGGGAACTTTAACCGTCGCTTCGCGTGGAATTCAATTTGAACGTGCCATATCTTCAGGATATTCGGTTAGTCCTATCATTACTGCAACCACTACCTACGTAGTTTGTGGTCAAAATGTCGGAGATGAAATTGACGATGCTAGAAAATTCGGTCTTACTATTCTTAACGAACAAGAATGGGAAATTTTGATAACTCAAAGAGAGGATGATGGTTTTAACTCTAAAAAAACTTATCCTACTAGAGACGTTGAAAAGAAACGAGAAAGGGATGAAAGTAGTGATGATGAACCTGCGGATAAGGACGAAATATTTACAAAACCCACGACATACATGGTGACAAAATCCAAATTTTGGGAAATGAAGCTTGATGGTCGAAAGACATATATTAGAATGGGAAATATTGGTGACAAAGGAGAAATAACAATGAAAGAGCATAAAAGTTTTACCGATGCAAAACAGTCTATGATTAATTTGATCGCTAGAAAAACGAGTCAAGGATTTCGGAAACAAGATAAACCTTCACCGACAGCTGATACTAAAGCCGGTAAAACATTAGTGACTATAAAGAAGCACCTTAAACGACAAAAAACTCTCCATGTTAATGCCAATGATAAAACTTTTTTGGATGACGTTGATATCGAAATTATTGATAATTCTAAACAGCGCGTCATCATTGACAATATCATTGACGATATCATTGACGATGGACAAAAAATCTCCGCATCACCACCTCTATCTAATATCACAAACAACGCTTTCAAATCTACTTTTAAGAAGACGGTTACCTTACCTTCTTCCATTACTAATGCTAAGCCTAAGTCAATTTTAAAAGGCAATATTCCCGAACTTTTACTCGCTCATCCTTGGAAAGAAGACGAAGTTGATCCAACTGGTTGGTGGATTTCTGAAAAATTGGATGGTGTTAGAGCCTTCTGGTGCGGAAAACGAGGTGTATTCTTGTCAAGACAGGGAAAAGTTTATGCTGCGCCTGCTTGGTAGGTTTAATAAAAAATATTTACTTTTTTTACATTACATTATAGATTTTAATTAAATTTCTTTTACTTTTAGGTTTACAAAAGGTGAATAATATTTATTCGTTATCAATAAGAAGATATTTTTTTCTAAAACCTTAATCTCTATCATTACCAGGTTTACCGAAAGACATTGATCTTGACGGTGAACTCTTCGGCGGTCGTGGCAAATTTCAATCAACAGTTAGTATCGTAAAAGCTGGTATTGAAGAATGGAAAAAGATAACCTATCAGGTAAATAGACGTATTATTTCAATTTTCTTAATGCAACCTGTATATAAATCTATATTTTCATAATAACATATGATTTATCTTTTCTTGCATAGGTATTCGATGTACCATCGTACTCTAATGCTCCTTTTGAAGATCGTATGGCTTATATAGAAGATTTAGTAGAGAAACATAAGCAAGTAACTTTATAAGCTAGCAAATCTAACTATATTATCATATACCTTATAGATTACAATACATTTTATAATCCTACTACATTAGACCTCCATATGTTCAATTAGTTCAACATAGATATTGCAAAGCAGCTAAAGATATTTTTGATGAATTAAAACGAGTTGAAACAACTGGTGGAGAAGGATTAATGATTAGAAAACCGAAAAGTGAATATGTTCGTGGTCGATCCGACACATTATTAAAAGTATGTTTAAATGTTATTATAAATTTATTAAATGTTCATTTATTGAACAAAAATTGGTATAATTACAATTTTAGATTAAATCATTTTATGATGGTGAAGCTCTTGTAGAAGGTTACGAACCAGGAAAAGGTAAATATACAGGAATGACAGGTGCATTAAAATGTGTTATGGCTTGTGGTAAAAAATTTAAAGTTGGGTCTGGATTGAGTGATAACGAAAGAAGAAAACCTCCAAAAATAGGAAGCATCATTGTGTAAATATAAATTTTATTTCTTCAATTTAACTTTATTTTTTGTGAAAGGCCAATTATTCATTAATAATTGAAATATATGTGTATATAGATATCGATGCCAAGAACTTAGCGATAGTGGGTCCCCGCGATTTCCTACATTTGTTGGAGTTGCTGCTGACAAAACTAAGCCTAACGATCCGAATTTCGGACATAAGTTAAAGATAAATAATTAAGCGCATCTGTAATGTCAATATCCTGGTCCATTTATTTACGTACGAATCAGGGTAATATTCACTAACCTTGATATAATGACCAGGAATTACCATTACTTATTTTAAATGTATACGCGATATAAGTAGTTATAAAGTATTCATTAGATATAGATTTTTTATTTTGATCAATATTATAACTGTCTATGTGAATGTTCTCATTTAAGATTTTACATTATACTAAATAAATTAGTCATAGATGCACGTTCTTTCAATCTTATTGGTACGTATGATTTCAGAAAAGTGCAATTAAAATTAGAATGATACATTTAATTGAATGTATATTTCAGTAAACATAATGTGTAGTGTTGCAAGATAGTGCATTTACTACACGAAATGAGTTTTTTTATCTAAATGACTTTAATACATATTTTGTTAGATTAAATTATTATATTTAAGGATTTTGTTCAGTATTTGAATTTTGCAAACACTGATAGTACGAATGTATTTTACCCAAGTTTGTTAAAACATCGCGGATAGTCCTCTTATCTCCGGAACTGTAAATAAAAGCGCACTCATACGGTGTGAATGTAACCTTATATATGTATCCATTATCATTATTAATTTAGAAAAATATTATTTATACTGTACATGAAGTTTACATGAAGTTTGTAAGTGAAACCTATTATATAAGTCAAATTTCGATAAGCCGAAGTTTCGAATTCGTAATTTATTAATGAAAATCATTGTTTATATTATAAAGTCTTAACGTGACTAATATTGTTATGAAAAACGAATGACAATTTGCATTCAATGTTGGCAGAAATAGCTTTTTTTCGTGATTTGCTATTTCTTCGACTAACTAAATTTAGGAAATCTGTTTTCACCCAGGTTTGAGTGTCACTGTGGCGCTCGGCCACGTGTCCCATGAAATTTCGAGACACAAACGATAGTGTTAGCCAACTTGAGATGTTAAGTCGTTCTTATGAATCCGGTCCGAAAGAAAACTACTGTAATCTAATTTAAACTTGTAGTTTCATAACTAATCTAATAGTAAATTCCGTAATTCTAACTTTTAACTAAAAGCGTATTTATTTTTGGTGACTCCTTCGATACGTATAATCCCTGTTGTGTAACTAATAAAAATATTCGTGTAATTTTACCTTAACTTCAAACCTAACCCTAACTTCTAATTGTACGTACTTACAATCTAACCTCTATATAATCACCTTGGAAAACAGAAATTTTGCGATGATAACAAGAGGTGACTATAAATAATAAGTTCTATATAATCATCTTAATAATAGATAGCTTCCCCAGCATATAGATGCAGACATATTGTCGTAATTAATTACGACCTACTTTAAATCAGATTTTTTATATTGAGGTAATTAGATTACGACCCATCGCCATTAAAAATTTCACCTGCACGTGACTTACGTAATATAATTTATCTCTGCTATACGATAAATTGATATATATCATATATCGATATAGAATATTAATTAAATACGTAATATTTTTTTTTTACTTTATATATCGTACAATAATAACAAATCGTAATGAATTCAAATCCTAACACTAATTCCATTTCTAACCAACCTTTTATTACTAGTTATCTTAATATTTTCAGTCAGAATTCTAACAATTCT